TGTTACTTATCAGAATGTATCACTACTTTTATAGTAGTGACATATATGCAGTGAAAGAGTCCTTTTTACAGACTTAGTAAAATATGTTGCTAAAAGCTAGCCCTTTCAGTAAACTGTACATTATAATGTTGTACTCTTGAACAAAATTAGCATAAATTATTCTTATTTCACCTAATCTGATTTTTGTTTTTTGTTTTATAGAGATTTCGTGAAAAACTGCCTTCTTATGGAATGAGAAAGGTAAAAAGCTGTTTTGAAATTATATAATATAGGATTGAGTGTTCAAAGAAGAACCATTAGCAAAGTCATTCTGCACAGCTAGCTGCAGTCTGGTAAATTTATGTTCATAAATAACAACTCAGAAACAAATTAGGTGGCTGTTTTAATGCTCATGAGCATGGTCATTGTTGTGTTGACCTTGACCTGTGGGGTTGCATGGTTGGAGAGAGCCTTTGGTAGTGTTACTGCCACTTTTGTGTCCAGCTAAACTTGTGCCAATGAGACTATAGCTAGCTCAACTCCCCCTTTCCTTTTTGTCTCTTATAAAAATATTCCCATCATTTGCTTCCATTGAGAGGGAAAATACCCACAATGTGGAATGATTGTCTTCTTTTGTCCAGGGTGTGTTTGCAGAATAGGAAGGCTCTGGATCTTGTTTCTGTTGGATGCAATACTGAAATGTTCCATCCTTCCCATGCTGTTGGAACACTGCATTGCTGACAGAAGAGGTTTCCACCAGCTCTGGTGGTGTACCGCCTCTTGTGCTTGCAGACTTCTCTCCATCTCACAATGGTCTTTGACCCCGGATAGCTATCCAGTTGCCCTTTAAGTAGTGCTACATTTTCTGTCCTTTCTTCCATCAATATTAAGTCCTGACTAGCTGGTGAGCAGAGGCAGAATGTGAGTCTGTTCGTTTTCATTGCTGAACAGTTTGGGCAAAGTGGTAGAATATAACAGCACTCTGGAGTTTATTTCGATTAGTTTTTGACTGTAGTTCAGATGTTCATTTTAGAGAAGAACAGGCATGTAGAAGCATATCTGTGCACATCAAACTACAGTACTCATTGGGCGCATTACTTTTTTTTTCAAACCAGGAGCTTGTTAACCTCATAAACAGTAGTCAAGTAACTGTTATAAGTGGTGAGACTGGTTGTGGAAAGACTACTCAAGTTACCCAGTTCATATTGGATGACTATATTGAGAGAGGGAAAGGCTCTTCTTGCAGAATTATATGTACTCAGCCTAGAAGAATCAGTGCTATTTCAGTAAGTATAATTTGAATCCAATTGCATTCAAGTAATAACCAGATTTGCAAGTATGTTGGTTTTCATGAGATATAATTTCTTTAATGTTAAGGTAGCGGAGAGAGTTGCAGCAGAAAGAGCTGAAGCATGTGGTAATGGAAAGAGCACAGGATATCAAATTCGTCTTGAAAGGTACATGATGTGGGGTAATTTTTGTGCATCTTAAGCAATGCTGTAGAGAAATGTCAGATTATGTAGAACTTTGGGTACAGTTTTTAATTAGAATAGCGATCTTTAAATTGAATATTGTTTGGTCTGATATCCTTTGTATGCCACTGCTGGTTTTAATTTGTTGGGGGGGGG